TCAGAAGTGTTTTTTGTCTAGGACTGAGCCATTGTTATTTGCATTTAATATTTGCATAAAGAATCCATTTTTTATCACCAGTGACAATTCTGTCCAAAAATGGTTCACGTGCATTACGCACCAGAAGAGAAGAAGCAACGGTCACACGTTGGAAACGATGATCATCAGAAAGTTTGTGAGGCACCTAAACAACTTCTTTATGGAGTTTTCCCATATTCCTTAGATGTTTACGTATTGTTTCATGAGAGACATGCAATTTCAAGGCCATTTCACGAGTGTCTTGCCTTGGGTTAGAATTCAACAAGTGTCTTCAGAGCATCAATATCAATTCCAACATGTTGGCCCCTGCCATCACAGTTTTTAAGGCTAAAGTCACTTGAACAAAATTTGCTGAACCATTGTTGACACTTACAAATGTTCAAAACACTTTTATAAACTTCTTTGACATTCTTTGTTTCTTTTCTTGTATTCAAACAGCATTACATGCCGATTGTGTGTGTCTCGTCATGTACCATCACTATACGGGATTAAAGTATACTAAACTTTACATATTATATTGGCTACACTAACGTGATGTTTAGGCGGTTCTTTAACTATTATACATGATGTAAATTTTTTGGGAGGTGGTTACTGGAAGTGTTCCAAAATGTGACATTAATTTCTTGATTGCCTAATACTTACTTAGAAAGAAACAAAGACAACCTGGTAGTGAGTATTGCTAGTTGAATACACTGTTCATCAGTTGAGTTCTTTAGCTATGAATAATATTTTCATCCCTAAACTGAATAATATCTCACGAGGTTCATCGAGCTTAGGAGATTTTGGTTAGTCTTAAATACATATATTAAGGTAACAATGCAAAACTAATCTCTACAATAAAATTAGATATATTAAACATTCTAACCAACACTGTTAATACAAGTAACAATATCAAAATAATAAGAGTATACCTTACTTATGACACATACAAAACACTAGGTTTAATTAGAGACAGACATGGTTCATACTGAATTGCTCAGGTCAATTTCAAGCACTTTTTGGAAGCTAAAATCTACATTAAAATCAATTGGATTTCAATAGTACTTTATAAAATTCCTACACTAAAAAGAAAAGAAAGACTTCATTTATTGCACTCAACATGTAATAAAGTTAGATATATTCTGCTATTATAATATTTAAGTACTTTTGCACCCATTTTCAAGCTCTTGAAATTGCCTTCTCAATTTCAAGGACTTTCAAGGATGCATATGCACCCTGAACAGATTAATACCTGTTGAACACTGTAGCATTAATATAACCATGTATAAACAGAACTTTACATAACCCTTCCTAAAAACAACCTGTGACCAATGAAAATCCATTAAAAGCTCTAGCAGTATAACTCTACCATAGAATGGCATCCAAGATAAGTTACTAGGTCACATTACTGTTTAGGTGTGGAGTCAAGTAGTAGTGCAGCCAAAAAATAATATTCATTACGATGCAAAATACTAAGTTTAATGAATATCTAAATCATGTAATAAATAAATACCTAGAATATTCGTTCTGAAATTAAAATGTAACAATGTTAATCATAATACAAATAAAACAGTATGTTACACATAATAATCTATGTCTAACACAATTACTCCCACTTTAACTATCCTCTGTCACTTAACAAAATACACAAAGCAGGCAACAGGAAGTAAAAAAAAAGCTAAATCTTCTGTAAAAGCCATAAAAGTAAATATGATATACTTCACAAAATTCAATGACGAGGAACCCACTCTGAGACTAATAATGGTTGGAGACGGCTTGAATGGGTAATGAAGAAAAACATTAATATAAGTTTAACATAACAGCATATTAAAGTTTTTCTTCATTACCTATTCAAGCCATCTCCAACCATTATTATACTTCATGAAAGTTCAATAATAATAATGATAACAAGATTCAGAAATGAAAGTTACAACCTTCATAAATGTAGCAAAAGTAATTAGTAAAAAAACTAATGCCATACCATATACACTACTGTTAAATGGCTAGTATAGTAATGTAAACTAATGGTGGTCAATACACTACAGCATTTCACTATTATCTTAAACCATTTTCAAAGGAATTATGTGGCATCTTACCAAACAAATGCCTTTTGAAAATCGAAGTAAAGCAAATCCACTATTTTACCTCATCCAGATAAAAAAAGTGGTAAGAGTTCCATATGGTACCCCCACTCAATTTAAAAAAAAATTCATCAAAGTAATATTTATGTATTAATAAATCATATTAATAGTATGATCCGATAATTTTAATACGTTATTATACCACTTACTTCATTAATTAGATGTACAATCTTCTTGGGGATAAACTTTACAAATGTCTTGTAT